TTTTTTAATTGAGTATAGTTTGTTATAACCAGATAGGAACGGTTGGCGTTGCGTATTAGTTGACACAAACTGTAATCTAAAAGTTCACTCTTGGGCTCAAAAACCAAAGTACAAAGTGACAGAAATGTTTTTGTTTCTATTTGTAGATCACTTGAGGGCATTAACAGGTTGCTTGTGGTTCTTCCAGGTGGAGTTGGCTACAGGACAGTTTCCCTACAAGAACTGCAAGACAGACTTTGAGGTTCTGACCAAAGTGCTGCAGGAGGACCCTCCTCTTCTGCCTCTCGGCATGGGTTTCTCCCTCGACTTCCAGTCCTTTGTCAAAGACTGGTGAGTGAAAATTCCACTGTAAAGCTGGCGCTCACTGACAGCAGTCCACTCTAGAGCCATCATGTGATCAGGGTGATGACTGGACAGCTGCGTCCACATTAAGAGTAAACGTTTCTGTTCTCTCAGGCTTATAATTCATCTGTGTGCACGAATGTGATCATCTGTGGTGCAGTTTGTGTATATTTAAATGGGTGTTTTGTTGTTATTTGTCTTGTATTTCAGTCTTTCTGATCTCTTGTGTACTTCTGTAAAACACATGCCTAATTTTCCTGTAACAAAATGTGCAATAGAAATAACATTGATGCTAAGTTCATTAAAAAATTTGCGTAAAATGCATTTATCTCTCTATAGCCTCACAAAGGATCACAGAAAAAGGCCAAAATACCATCAGCTACTGGTGAGTTGCCTTTTTTTTTTTCTAATGGTCGACCCAGATCTTTTAAATTACTCACAGCACAACTGTAGGTAAATGCAATATTTATCTTTTCTCCTCCATTTTAGGAGCATAGTTTCATTCGGCGTTACGAGGTGCTCGACGTAGACGTGGCTGGTTGGTTTCAGGTGGTGATGGATCGCACCGAGTCGCCTCGCAGCAGCCAGTGTTACAGCCATCAGCATCAACTCCACTCGCTCTTCAGTAGGTAGCCTAGCCTCGACCAGCCTGGCGTCAGCTTAGCCGTACGCTAGACTAGCCTAGCTTTAGCTTTGCCAAGCCCAGACTCAGTCTATTCTAGTCTAGCCGTCCACAGCTACGCCAAGCGCTACACCCATCCCGTCTGTCCATCTGTCCCCTGGGGAAGAAGAGACCTGAAGATCCCACAGAGGAGGGAGGCACGAAGACTCAGTGGAGGACTCTGGATGGACAGATTAAGCGATGGAGCGACAGAGGGATGGATGGCTGACGCAGGTGGTTCTGGTTATTAGGGTGCTGAATCTGGACAGACAGACACGGGGTTGGGGGGGGGGGATGCACGCTGTAGTGAGCTTCATTTGGTTTAGATACTGTTAGCGCTCACCACGCTATCATCACATCACAGTGTGTGTTGCAGCCAGACACTCACATACAAACTGTGTGTGTAGCTTGTATATGCCTTTACATTTTCTCCTCTTTTCAGTAGTTTTACACACACGTCTGTCTGTCGCCGACATTGATCCAAGCCATTGGATTCGTAAACAGAGTAGTCACTACACACTGGAACAAAGCATCTGCTACTTCAGCAAAAACAAGCCGCTCTTGTACATAAACGATTTAGAGGAAAGAACAAAGTCTGGTGCAATTATGATTCTTCAGGTGTTTCTACCATCACACATTCTCAGGCTGTATCTATATGTAGTGTGTCTGTGTGCGTGTGTATATGTCAGTGTGAGCATTTCTATGTATGGATAACTATAACGACTCACTCACCGGCTTTTAATAGTGAGGTTGTATTTCCTCGTTAATTCACCTTCACACTACAGCTCTAACACACAAACGAGAACAGATTAATCTGTTGGCTGTGCTTTTAATTTGAAAGGCTTTTGTTTTTTTTGTTTTTTTGTTTTTTTTAAATAGCATAATTTTTTGTGTTGGGGAGAAACAATGAAAAACACTCTCAAAAAAATTAGCGTTGCATTTTAGCTTTATAGAAAATAAGTCGTGTGTTGTTTTGAAGACGGGTTTGTTTGTTTTTTTGGTGATCGATGCGTGCCGCGAGTACATCCACACTGACGTTTTTGTTTTAAAAAGTGTAGTTTTTACTACATGTGCGATGAACATCCACACAGCAAGGCTGTAGTGGGTCATGCTCCGTCATTCAACGACCTCCAGTCTATAGCCCAGGTTCACACACACATTTGGCTGTTAACGGGTCTGTAAATTAGGCAGCAGGGTATAATGAGGTACCTTCTGATTGGTCAGACATAAGCTGGAACTTGCAATACTAATCAGGAACTAACCAGAGTTCAGTTTATTTAGGCATTTAAAACACTACAAAAAGCGGCCACGTGTCATTCTGTTATTTGTACTTTCAACAAAAGCAGTAATGTAACTAATTATGAGCCAATTTTAAAAATCCAAACATGCACAAAGTTTGGAAAGACACAAAGAGTGTGGTTTGTAATGGAGAGCCCACTTCCAATCAAGCTAGGTTGTAGTAGACCCTGTGCATGAATGTGAACAGTACAGGGAGAAGCTTGGAAACTGCGACAGTCTCTTGTGTTACGTTCAGAAGCCGTCTCGCCTCATTTGTCCAAGCAGAAAAGCTTCTTGCAGTTGGCTTTGTTGCTCTGGAGTATTTTCCTGACGCTACCGGCCCTCTGCTTCCTGTTTACACTGGCACACTTGTTCACGTTGTATGCGATATATCAGCGTGATACAGTGTTACGGGCGTGTTTAGTGTAAGCGGAGATTTTTAATGAAAAACGCCGTTTTGAAATGAAACGTATTAGTGTGGATGTAGCTTGAACTTCTTCTGGAAGATTGAAAGTTGAAAGATTTAACAAATGTTACAAGAGAGCAGCTGGGTGATTTTAAAAAATGGGAGCGTTTTTGGGGGTTTTGTACAGAGAATTTAAAAGGTGTAGATCTTATGACCTGTGGAGCATTTCTTTACTTCACTCTCTGTTCGTCTACCTCTTCCTTTTTGTCCACCTCTCTGCCTCCGTAGTGCTCCACAGTGTTCTTAGACCAAAGGCTACGCGTGGGTTGTTGGCGGAGGCCGAGAGACTTAGATTTGCTCCTGCAAACCTTCAGATATTAAGAATCCACGGAGGAGAGTCTGAGCAGTGCTGGTGTGTTTTTTAGGAGGCTAAAACTGTCAGGCTGGGGCCTGTAATTCCATTTTGCTTATATTGGATCATTATCCTGTTTTTACCGAGCTTTTGGATGAATATCAATGATATGCCATTAATTTCTGCTGATTTATCGGAGTCATTTCTTTTCCCCCAATTCTCCTTTTATTCTTCAGCTGCACAGTGGATTACTGGACTGATTTGGTTTCATTATTATATACTGAGACCAAGAATTGTTACAGTCAAGATGTAAAAGATGACTAGGAGGTGGAAAAAAGAGGAGTTGTTACCTTTTGCAGAATTACTTTAATTGATTAGGTAAAAAAATCCCCATTCAAAGCTCTTTTTTTTTTTTTTCTTTCCACTCCCTGTTTATTTCTACAAAAGAAAACAGGCTGACCACTGGCACGTGAGTTACAGTTTGAGAACCCAGCTTAAAGGATGTGTGTACATATACTGTGTAAACGTGAGTGCAAGTCTACATAGGCCGACTGAGCAGAGCGCTAATATCTCCCTTCTTGCGGGACCACAGCCAAAGCATGCTAGATGTTCAGACTACATCCCACAAACACCAAATCACTGCTAGACAGAACAGAGGAGAGGCGATGACGGAGAGGGGGAAACGCAAAGTCAGAGAGATGGGAGAGGGGTCCGGGAATGTTGTCAAGATGGTAGAAATGAGTGTGGGGTGGAGCAACGTGAGGTGACGAGGAGGATAAAGAAAGCGTGGTGGCAAGTTCAAGGAAAGTCAGAGACAAGCTGAGTGACAGGAAGTAAGTGTAAGAGAGGAAGCAGTTTCACACAGGAGTGCTGAGCTCTGAGGCTAGCTGTTTGTTTTTGTTTGTTTCGGGGGGGGGGTTTGTAAAGAGCTTTCATGGTGTTACGCCAACCTACCAATTCTGATTTTAGCGATTTAGCTTGTTGCGTTTGTGACGTTTACTGTTCTGTTCGGACTGTTATTTATTTGCATTGCTGCTGCTACTGTTTTGTTTGTTTTTTTGTTTTTTTTTATTGCGTTAGACGCTGCTGTCACTTCTTTTCCCCAAAGGACGAATATTTTATTCTTGTTCTTTTAAGCCAAATAAGTGAAATAATGCAATGTCGATACGCGTGTTACCAAAAAAAGCAAGTCTGAAGAGAGCAAAAGCAAGTGAGAGAAGCTTGGATAGATTAGAGAAGGACGTGCAGAAAGGTTGGCTTCACGCAAGTACTAACTCACGCCTCACCTCAAATGTACCTCTTGTGTGTATTGAAAGCAGTTAATTGTCATATCCTGATGCCACACTACACACTACTACTCTGTACAGTGTAGATATGATTTGGGGGTTGGGCGGGTCTGTCTGTCTGTCCAGATGCTTTGTGCCACATCCATCCAACACTCTGTCCATCCACTCCTCCATCTGTCTGCAGGTCCCCTGCAAGCTTGACAACCTTGATAGTTCACACCAAAGGTGACCACAACTTAACAAAAAGACGAAAGAGCGTTGTTGTTATCATTATGAGTCTTGTTATTGACATTATAATTGATTACTCTTAGCTATGATTATATATGAAATCTCTCTAGCTAGTGGGAGAGGATGTGTGTGTATGTGTGTGGGGGGAGTATGTCCCATGTATGTGTCATATACAGTACAGAGGGAGACTGGTGCAATAATACATGACCAGCTGGCTCAAACTCACCGCAGGCCTGAGTCAGGAACTGAGCTCACCTGACTCTTGGCATCACTGAGCACCTGAATGTTAGCCGTTCGGGATAAGCGGTGTCACACCGCTGCTACACAACTGGCTCTGTTAGCTCTGGGCTTACCGATCTGAGTGTGTCCTCTTCAGTCAAGTTATTGAAGCCACAAAAAAGGTGTTAAAGGTTAAGAGGTATACCGTTAATGTAAAACATTAAAAGTGACATTGTGCTCATTTCTGACTCCATATTTTTAGTAAGAGAATCAACTAGAGTAGCCTTGCACGATTCAGCCCCAGCATAGATTCAGCTTCTAAGCCCCACCTCCTTATAACCATATAAGGAAATATGTAGGAAAGTGATTATCCAGTGTTACAATATCTGTGTAATGCAGAAAATAAAGCATAATGGGAATTGGAAGCACATATTTCCTTACTTGGCTAAAATAATCCTGATAATTTAAGAAGACTCATCAACACAAACTGAAATTAATGTTTGATTTCTAACCAATATTCCCACACACGGACCTTTAATGTCGTGTACAGATGATGCTGCGTCTTTAAAATACACTCATTGATAATTCAGACCCAATTAGAGTCTTTCTGTGGTTTTTATCTGTAGATGCTGATTGATTAGGTTGCTGGCTTTGTAAGCTCGCTCCAAGTTGTTAAATGTTTCTGAATGATGACTGCGGTGTGACCCGATCATGTTAATTAGTCACAGTTAAAGGTGGGCCAGCTTTGTGATGCAGAAAAACCCGGCTTGATCCTGACTCACTGACCCAGGCCTCTGAGCAGATGTGAGGTGGAGTTGGCCTGACTCCGTTAGTTCAGCCGTTCTCTGGTTTTCATACGGACACCGGATGTGAGCTGGAACCGATTTAAAGTGGTGCACACTTCCATACGACGGGTGAACCCCCCCCCCCTCAAAACTATTATATACAGCCCTGGTTCTGGTGCTCTGCCATCACAGCAGCCTGAGCTCTTCTCATCGGTGCAGTTTCAAATACAAGCTCGGCAGTACACGCCGCACTTCCTATTCAGCGCTCAGTGTTCAAACTGTGCGTGCATGCGTGTGCCTCGGCTAACTCGTGATAAAGCTGGACCCAGTCTCCCGCTGTCGAGGTTCTCTGTTATTAAGCTGACATGTATTTCACAAACACGCGCACACACTTGCCGACCGTGCCGTTGGTGTGCATTTTCACTTGGTTGGCTGACGGTGCCACACACCACCTTTAAATCCTGTCACATGTAATTGCTTGTATGTGTGTTTGTGTGAGAGTCGGGGGGGGATTAAACATCTGATTACTAAACTAGACACACACACACACCAAATGTATAAAGTTATCCCATTCTACACAGCAATGCTGGCTACTGCCGATAGTGGCTTTATGTGTATATTAGCTTGTGAGGGAGTCTGTGTGTGCGCGTGTGCGTGTTGTAACCCCATCTGTAAGTAAACCAAATATCATTTTCACTATGCAGTCATTCAAACCATGTCAGCTTGCTTCAGATTTGTTTGTTTTTAAAAGTTGTTTTCATCTGGTGAGGTGGGGGGGAGATGCTTCGTGTACATACAGAGTTGGCATCGATGCATTTTTTTAAAAAAAATCCCCCC